ACACGCGCCAAGAAGATTTCACTTCCTCCTCACTTGATCACCTGCATGTTACACGCGAAAGCCTAACATTTTGCTTCGCTGGCGATTGTTGTCACACGTAGTGTCAAGGAACTTAATCCTAAGTTCCTATTATTTCCGAAGACGCTCCGAATCGACTACTACTAAGCACGAACATCGACTTTAATTCCGAAACACAATGAATGACAAGAAATTGTATTCTTCGATTGTTAAAATCAATATTCTTCACTAAGTCTATAAACAAATGTTTTCACAAAGAATGTTTTGTACTTTTATTCGTATTTTCTCATCTTCTTGTACACAATTGAATCACTCGCGCCTTCAAGTTGCCCGCCGATGGCGACCAATGCCAATGAATAAACGTTCAATGTTCATAAGCATTGACACTTAGGTATATTCAGACTATATCCCATCCATCTCCATTACTTTCTGCTTACTTAGTGGGTAACAGGTTATTTGTTGAGTTACTTTCAGAGTCCCTGTTTGACCACTTATTCTTTCTGGTCAGCTATTTGAAGGCGGCAGCTATTGATAAAACTTCTGATGATGTGTGCGTCAACTCACCTTAAGGTTCCGGGTGGAACCCGAGGGCTTCAACAGCACATCTCCATTTCATTGTGTTCTCTCTAGTCTGCTTTAGCTGGTTACATAATCTTTATCCATAATCTTCATACGGTCTTCTCCTTGTCATCCTCCGATCTTAGCATAACTCAGAACATGCTTCTCATTCAGGCCTCCTTTGTGAATGATGTCGCTGAACAGTCTCCTCAGCATATATGTTCAATTTATCCATCTCCATTTTAAAAAAGAAAGTAAAACCAAATTTGTTTTATAAAATGATGTCACACTCGATTTCACAGGTCCTCACCAACTGCAAACTACTTGAAATCACAATAACATAATTGAACGTCTAAATGGTAGCGCAGAAAATATTGTAAAACGTAACCATTACAATTTTCAGTTTAAGCTGTCATCAACTTATATGCCCTCTTAGTAGAAAAGCAGGTGAAAGGAAAGAAGACGGAAAACAGAATGATTTGATAGACAGCGTTATCTGGTAGGTTTACCCAAGAAGGTTATTATACATAAGATTGCAACCTTGCTCAGTGAAATGAGAGCACTAATGGTGATGTCTAATCAATGTAATCAAGATATAGTTACCAAGGGAGTGAGTGAGAGATTGGTTACACTCTCTTTCTCTATGCATAAGCTTGGTATGGAACATTTGGTTGAAATTGCTCCAGTTCGTGGAAAATATCCATTAGGACATAAGAAAGAAGAGAACACGAAGTTCAGCAAAGATGTCGATCTTTCTGCCGATTTCATTTTCAAAAGCAGCTCAACAATCGCATTTAAATACATAATTTCACATAGATACAAGGAAGACAAACTCTGGCATATGACCAATTCAATGTGTATATACCAGTTCACCTGCTCGTGAGGAGCTAGGTACATAGGTCAATGTATGCGCATTACCCAGCGTGACTGCAAAGAGGAGGCATCGGTTCAATCAGAAGTGCCATTATTGAACATCTGATCAACACCTCCAACAATATCTCAACTGATTCTTTCAAAGTAATTTACAAAGTCAACAGAAACCTACCAAAAAAGCACTATGTTTCCGACTTCTTCGTACTGCAGAAGCCCTCGCAATATACATCGAAAAGACGGAGCTGTGTGTTCAAAAGAAATTAGTCCAACCTCTACAACTACCATGGACTTAGTTCGGTATGTTCCCTTAGTCTCCGTTATTTTTTGTTGTTTTTCGATCTTTTTTTCGCTCTGTATGTGTGTGATTCTTATTCTCTCTGTCTTCATTCAATTTATCCCATTTTTTCAATTATAAGAACAGTTATATTAGGTTTCTTTCCATGCTCCTCCTGCTCACATTTGTATTTCGTTTAAAATAACTATTTTACAGTTATATTCTAATCCTGTGTAATTTTTGTCTCCAAGTCTCTTTTAATCTATATTCACACCTCCTAACTTCCATGTCAAGTTAAAAATTATTATTTCGATTTGTTTCCGTGCTCATTTTTTACACACTTCTAATTTTTCCTAATCCTGTGTAATTTTGTTTCTAAGCCTCTCGTAAACCATATCTAGTTGAAAATAATTGTCACCTTTTATTCGCCGTCGTAATTATGTAGAATCAAACAAGAATTGTATCCATCCAAAATTATGTATTTAAATGCGATTGTAGAGCTGCTTTTGAAAATGAAATCGCCGAAAAGACAGTTGTCTTTGCAGGACTTAGTGTTCTCTTTTTTATAATGAAATTGCCTCAGCAAATCGTAGCAATCAGATAATTGCAGGCAACCAGCCACAGGAAGTCGTGGACTTGGGTTTCGTGCTTGTTGGCACTCACTAGTCAGTAAGGCATGTTTTCATCCCTGAAGGAACTTAAGTCTCTCCTGAGAGATTCGAACCCGTGTCACCCAGGGATACAATCAAAGACGTTACCACTGAGCTGTTCGAGCTCACGATGGAAATCATGTAGGACTGTATTAGGTACTTTGCCTCCAACCTTCTAATACCAACAATCCTGAGTGTACCGTGATAACGAGCTACTTAGTGTCATGGTGGCCACATTGCAAACTTCAATGATGACAAAATTCAGTCTGCGCCGAATAAAGGACTAGACATCAGTTAGTGTCCAATCAAGTTAATTCGAAGTAAATTTGCTGTCCTTTGTATGTTTAATATTTTGAAGGATTCAGTAATCTCTGGTAATTTCATGTTGCTAATATCTACTTCTTTTTAGGCATAAGTTTCTTGGGATATGTTCAAAAAACCGGCTAGCAGCCCTACTTTCTGTCTTTTTAATGTACTTGCTTCGGCAGCTGCTTACAAATTTACAGACACAGTTAGTTGGAAGCGACGTCAGTAGGTTACTTATAGAGCATATTTAGTCATGTGTGGTGCTAAGAGCTTAGCTGCAGGGAAGAATCGTTTTATTGCTCCTTTCATTCTCTTGTGAATCTTTTGAGTGGGATGCAAATAAACACTTTCTTCTTTTCAACAGCTGAGTGTTTCATTTTCTCATCTTTTCGTTTGCTACACTTTTGGAGTAATCTCTTTGTATACCCATTATCCCTTAGGGGCATTTCTTAACAAAGCCTAGTTCTCCTTCCAGCTTTCGATGTGGTTGTGTTCTCTGAGCTGGATAGGTAATTTGCGAAGCTTTCATCTCTGAAATAGGTGACATCTTCAGCGCATACTTCAATTTGAAGTGAGCTTTTATTAATCATCTCTCCTGGTGACCTTGGATGTGATTAGTTGTTTTTGTGCGTTTTCACACCTTCTAGGCTACTTGTATTGGAACTGATTGTTTCTTTGACTTTAACTTTGACTTTTTGTGTGAGGTTTCTTTCTTATCGGTTGATAAATTTTGTCTATCTCGATGTGTCTATTGACTGATGATTCACTGGAATAACAGGTAGCCTTCTAAAAATTCTCTAGCATTCTTATTATTTCCTCTATCTAATATTTGAACATTGTCCCAATCGAATTGATGCTCGTGGTTGTCTGTATGTAGTGATATGAGTGACGGAGTGGATATCATATCTTTTGACGGCTAGCTTATGTTCGTGGATACGAAGACGAAGGGCACGTCGTCCGCTTTGGACAATGTAGTGTTTTTCGGAGTTGTTACAATTTATTTTGTATTCGCGAAATATACCCATTAAGACATTGAAATAAGAACAAATTAGAGACTCTTCGCTGAACTAATTTGTTCTTATTTCAATTTATTTTGTAGCTGATGTTGGTTTTATCTTCTTTCGCTGTTGAGTCTTTTGGTTGAAATAGAACTGAGTGAAGTAATTTTGCTGGTTTGTGTACCATATCAATTCTCAAAGGTTTGAAGAGTCTTGCACTGGTTTCTGAGATATCCTTTATATATGACAGGGTGATGTTTTTGTGCTTTCCTTGAGGGCTTTTGGTTTGATAGGTTGGCTTGGATGCATATGTCTTTTGAATAAATTCCGTGGATATCCATTCTTTTGGAAGACGTCCGTGAGATATTTTTCTTCAATTTTCCTTGAGGTGGAAGAGCTGCAAAGAATCCTGGCTGGCTGGCTCTCTTGAATAGTGTTTGTATGCAATTCCTTTTGTGTGTTATTGGATTGTTGCCGTTGTAATTGAGTATCTGATCCATGTGAGTTGATTTTCTATAAACGTGAGTTTCTAATTCCCCTGTGGTTGTTCGCTTGACTAAGACGTCCAAAAATGGGATTTCGTTCTCGGATTCCTCTTCTCTTGTGAATTTGATGTCGTTGAAGACATTGTTTATTAAGTTGTGAGTTTTATCTAACTTGTTTCTTTTGATTATTACAAATGTGTCGTCCACGTAGCGTATCCAAATCTTTGATTTGATCTTTGGTAGGATTATGTTTTCGAGCCTTTGCATCACTGCTTCTGCAATCAAACCTGATATTGGTGATCCCATGGGTGTTCCCTTAACTTGTTCATATATTTGGCCGTTGAATTGGAAGTACGTTGTTAGGCATAGGTTTATGCATTCCGTCCAACTTGTGTTTTGCATATCTGATTGTTGTGGGAGGTGTTCATCGTTGCTGAGTAATTGTTCCATGGTCTGCTTTGCTAGTTTTTGTCCGATTGAGGTATATAATGCTGTGACGTCGTAGGATATCATTATTTCTCCTTCCAGCTTGTTGGGCAAACACGGCTTCTTTCTGCATATCTGTTGGGTGGTAGGATCTTCCCAATATTCAGTAATAATGAACAGACAAGGTGATTGTTTTAGGTTAACTGAATAAAATAATTATAATTTGTGATCAAAACTATCTTTGATTGAGACTACAAACTTGTAATGACTGAACGATCGATATATGCTGAAGAATATTGATTATTTAGGCCATCTGATTCTTTTTAAAACTATCTCATTCGTTCATTGTATGTATGTTTGTGTATATGATGTATATGGTTATCAGATAAAAAGATGGTAGTATATTCGAAGACCTTAAACAAAAATTTGCGTATTAGAGTTTTCTTCACCGAAAACCTGAACAAAATATGATGGTAATACAGTAAACAAGAAAAACTCATAAATTGGAATTAATCTGTTACAAATTAGTTGACGTTACTTTCCCTCTAATTCTTCTTTAAAAGAAAAGCATTTCATTTTATGCCCATTTGAGCGATCGAATTCAAATAGACCGCGCAAAATCGATTTTTGAAAAAAAGGGATGGAATTAATACATTCAAACAAAGAGAATGCTCAATATTCTTTGTTACATTCTTCTAATGAAAATTGTAACAATGATGTAATTGATACTGAAAAAGATGTGAATATTGTAATAAGACTTGGGGAAGAGTTACAACGACGTATTGGTATATTACCGAAAGTGGAAAATTACACTTTAATGTTGCCGAATGTTCCAGGGAAATTAATACAAATGTTATGCGTGAAACCAAAATCCTATACAGAGATATCACGAACAGTAAGAGCAGCAAGAACAATGAAGTTGACGGTGCGTGCTTGTGGTGAACAATCTGCTTATAATTTATTTGTCTATGGGAACAACGGAACTGTACTAATCGACTGTACACAGTTAGCTGATTCACCCAGACTTGAATTTACTACTGTAAAACGTAAAGATACTACTAATACTACGGAAAAAGAAATAAATGGATTAAAAATTTTATCATGTGTTACAATACAAGAATTAATCGATTATCAAATTAGTCATAATATTGAAATTAGCCAAACTATTGAAACATGTTCAATATGGGGTACAGTTGTCGGTGCATTGACGTCTACCCAGCCAGGTTTAGTTGGACCTGGAGGTAGCGCATTGGGTGGTTGTTTAACCGATGAAGTGATAGCTATCCGTATTGTTGATTGTCATGGAGATTTAATTGAATACACAGATGAGAATGCAGTGAAAGCAGCTGTGTCGAATTTAGGCCTTTTAGGCGTTGTTTATGATGTAACCCTACGATATAGTTCGATTACATTGTCAAAAGTAAGTGGAATTTTATTGATTACATTGTGGTAATAATGATATTATTATTGTACACCGTATTTGTATAATGTGCAGAATATTCAGCCTAGCTTATGATTATTATTATTATTATTGTTTCCTTTAGTTCCTAGAGGAACATAGAGCTTCAGCCGTGCGTCTCCATTGCGTCCGATTCTCTGCTAGAGTCTTCACCTGACTCCAAGTTTGCCCACACGTTTTCATCTCCTCTTCACATGACCTCCTCCAAGTCACCCTTGCACTGACGACCAATTCGCTGCTTCCCTTTCGGGTTCCACTCGAGCAGTGGCTTGTCTAGTGATGTCACTTGATGGTTTCCTCAGAATATGGCCAATCCAATCCACCTGCATTTCTTCCTGCCTATTTGCTTCACAATCGGTTCCTGCTGGGTTTGTTCGCTCCCAAAGATCTCTGTTGCTGATCTTTTCTGGCCAGCCATCTGATCTTGAGTGGTATTGAGCGAAGACAACTGTTAATGAAGGTCTGTAGTTTGTTTGAGGTGCTCTTTGTGACGCGCCAAGTCTTTGATCCGTATAGCAGCAATGACTGACTTCCCATTGGAGTTGAAAATCCTAGCCTAGCCTATTGCATGATATTTTTTCTTTGTCCAGGATCTTGTAAGTGCCAAAGTCAACCTTTAGATAGGCCTTAACGCCAGCACCTACTAAACTTCCTTTCCTCGGTTAACCCTGATCAGTACACTACCTGCCGTGTATGTAATTATGAATGGAGTCCAATTAGAAGACCTACGCACTGTTTTGTGTGCTCAGATATGAACTATATTTATATGGATCCATACAGCCTTAGTATTATTTAGTAGTCGAACTCTTAAGGCGAAACTGAGAAACACGCCTAATTCTACGAAAACAGTACTTGTGATACAGAATGGAATTTTCAGCATTAATCACAATATTGCATCTAATTTCCTCAAATTATAAATAAAATTAATCACACAGAAAACGTTCCACATTCACAATAGGGGAAATGTCAAAAAAACACGCAGCATATAAAATGGAAATAATAATAATGATAACAGCTAAGGTTGTAATAATAATAATAATACAAGTGAAAATTGCCGTGGGCTTGTTTCACACAGTATTGTCGATGCGGTATACAAATCCTAGCATGTTTAAAAATATTGAATATAATGTTCTCTTTACAGGATGTGGTGAGGGGAAAAACGTAGATTACATCAGTCATGGAGATAAGTTGGTGTTTGCAATTATGAGAGTAAAACAAAGGAGCACCAGGACCATAAATATAATAGAAATAATAAAAGTAAAACTTGAAGGTATATAAGGATGGATGGAGGAGATTGTTTATTTACTGGATGAAAAAAGTTTAGTCAATTCTTGCCTGACGCTATTTTCATCACATAAAATACGTGCCAAATATGGTATCATAGAATTTTTATACTTAGACGTGCGAGCATACAGTTTTCTGAAGTTACTTCTTGTTCTACCTGAGGAGATGCAAGGTGAAAGCTGAGGGTAAAGTGGATGCTCCAAGTCAGACAAAATCCCTCTAGCAAATTTATTGCACGAAGTCAAATGCCTATCAACAACGACGTTAACTATGTGGTCCACTAGGACACCACTCACCCTACACTGACAGTCTTCAGCATTCTACGAATTATGACATAGTCCTTTTTAAGCAAACCAGGAAAGAATAAGGGTGAACAATAAAGAAGAATCGGTAGGATACAAGAGTTTATGAACTGTAAGAGAAGGGGTTGAGTTATACCCGAGTGCCTCAACTTCTTAATGTTAAGTGTCAGGCGGAATATTTTATTGGAGATCGCTGAGACATGGGAAGACCAGGAGAGATCAGAAGAGAGAATAAGTCCAAGATACTTAATTTCTGATTTAATTCCTTTTCAATGTCGTCAATCTTACAACTGTCATATATAACAAATGAAAAATCTAAACCAATACGTGACAATAGTGTACAACTTATCCGTTGACCTCCTGGGATAGCAAGCTCGAGGAGTCGGCTTAATGATAGCACAACTAGGCAGCAAGCCACATGCGAGCAGTCACACAGGAAAAACAAAGATGCTGTGGCGCCATAGTACATAAATGCGTTAAAACAAAAGTTCAAACATTTAAGGTGCACTATAATCTTAAAATAAAAGATTCATGTACGACAGTAGATCATGTGACACAGTTCCATCTGACCCGAAACGCTACAAACCATTCAATTATGATATATCTTCTTTCTCTCCTTCGAGAAGTACACGACGACATTTCGTTGAATGTTAATTATAAAAAGTTGAGGAGTCCCTTTTGTGAATCAGAGACACAACTCAGAAACAGTTAGTTATCTCATGTACTTAGATAAACTGCGATCCAGGATAATGCTTTTACTCAAGTTTAGTGCAAACTCGCGAACATTTTGAATACGTACAAGAGTAAATAATACTATTAAAGGTCATAGGAAATAATAAAAAGACAGTTGCAGCGAAGAAAATTTTCTTTTCGTTGAAGTCACCGTCAACTAGGCTGTAAATTCAGGACATTCAGCGTCATTCAAGAAATCCTTCAAAATCATATTATAAGATTCAACCAAACCTATTAATAGGAGTAAAATCAAGACATCTGGGCATAGACGAGGCACTAACCATCCAAAAGGTCAAACCTACACTATGTATCCAAAAGAGATACGGCCGACTCTTGTCCCTAACATGGACATCATAAACAGGTAATTCTTTTAATACAGACTATCTCATCGCGTTTCTTATTCAAACTTCCTGCTTATTCATGTTATTTTTAAGTTTTTCTTAATCCCTCCACTATTTACACTACCATATTTTCATATCCGAACTTCCTGTCTAATTTGTCATTTTATTGTTTCTACATATTTAATCGCTGACTGCATAAACAATTATTCGTCACATTAGCTGTGATCCCACTAGTTTTTGTTTTCCAAACATCTTGTCTGTTTTTGTTATTTCTATATTTTTAAACCCCAAATTGCTCAACATATCAATCTTCTCAGTAATGATGATGCTACTTTGTTTGAGCTTTATCCGTCCCTCCCCCACACTGTTAATTATAACATTTCTAATTCCTAATTGTAATTTTATTAATTATACCCTTGGCCGGAAATTATTCTGGAACTTTCCCACCCATTTGTCATAAATACACGAATGTACAGCTATCTAGTTGACGGTGACTTAATCGAAAAGAAAATTTTCTTCAAATCACCGAAAATACCCACTGAGTCATGAAGAAAATAAAAGACAAATTCATCAGCGAAGAAAATTTTCTTTATCGACGAAATCATCTTCACAGGCTGGTTGTACAGTCGTATTTATACTTACCAAAAATTTATAGTGGTCTATTATTGAGTAATAAGAAAGGGTGACATAATTGTGCGTCGGTGTCACAGCGGTTAGGACTCTCGCCTACCATGCACATGGTACGGGGTTCGATCCCCTGGCGATGCACACCCGATATCTATGGTTGGCCTGCGAAATTCGGGCTACCGATATCCATGCTGAAAATGACATACCTGTACTGAAAATACGGTGTGGCATCAAGCTGTAATCAAAAATAAAAATAAATAAATATAATTACTCAAAAGTGGCTTTAGAAGTAAAAATAAAAGTTGTAAATTACATGGTACTCAACGGCACAAAGTTAGAAATTTGATAAGGTTAAAATTGCTGTTGGGTGAGAATAAAGGCGGTAATTGAATGTCAATTTAACAAGTGCGAAGTGGGTGTGAAAATATACGAAAGGAGTATATGAGATTGATAATAGTGAATTAATTATTAAAGCAAAAGCAAACTAAAAGTAAAATTAAAATGAAAAGAAAAAATCAAAATTTTTTATTTACAAGGTATGATTAGTGAGAAAGTTAAGACCAAGGTAGAAAAAGAGACTGGACAAACTTTTCCTGTATTGATGAATTGCCAGGGCCTCCGCTATACACAAAAACCGAGACCTGACGCCCTTTGTACCATTTGGTTTCACTTTGTAGATGATCTTGAAAGACGACTTTGGTGGAGCTACGTGGCCTGAGTTCACCAAATGCTCAAGAATTGAGCTGCAACTGTCTTCTTCTTATTTACTATTAGAGGTCATATTTTATTAGATTAAAACAAACTGAATGAGAGAAATTACATGCACTATATTTATGGAGGTTGTTTTCGGTAGCTCAAGGTTTAAGGAGGCCGCCGAGTTTGTTTTAAATGGTTCCATTTTTGTGAAATTGATATAATTTAACAATTCCCAATGTAACGTAAAGAACACAATATTCAATGGAACGACTTCCTAACGAGTTTTTTTTTACCAAGCTTTGCACGTATATATATATTATTTTTAAGAAATTATACCTTGTGAGGCAATTTACCCAAGAGGAAGGAACACTTAAGATAATAAAAACGCTAAATGCGATAAAATGTTTGTGATTATAATCGTATTTCTAATATCTAATTTCTAGTGAAATATTAGATATGAATGTGATATGTTTCGATGTCTTAAGAATTGTTACCGTGAGGGTGTGTATGATCTAGACTAACTGACCGGTTCCAACATAAAACTTTGCACTGATGTGCAGCAGTTCAAGTCGCCACACTCCACTCCATGTAGCACATAAAGCAAGAGAAGAAAGTAAAATGAAATGCAAAATAGAGACAGTAAACGGAGATATGAGACAAAAAGAATGGTAATATCGAAGAAAAATATAGTTTTATTGAGTATTATAAGTCACAAGGAGTGGATGCATCTGCTCCAGCCCTTGAGAACGATGATTTTCAGCCATGTCACCAATTATCTCCAGCCTTCATTGGTGTTTAACGTCCTGAGGACCCCAACCAGGAAGTTCACGCTTTCTTACGTGGCTTAAACTAACTGTTGTTTATTTCATTGACTGATGCAGTCATGTTTTGGTTTGACCACCACTGGCTCTCTCCTTTCCAGCCTGATCCATTTTATATCAGTCAGTTAACACTGCTTGTTGTCGAGGAAGACGATGGCTAGGCATGCATACGTAACACATGGCCTAACCATCTCAGTCGATGTAGCTTCACAGCCTAGTCTATTGATTTCCCCTCCTTACCTAGACCTCGACCGAAGCCTAACCTCAGTATTGCTCACCCTATCATACTATTTCACACGGGAGATAGGACGCAGGCACCTATGATCAAAGACAGCTAGCCAGGCTTTTAGAATATTCAACTTTCAATGGCCATGTCTCACTCACAGCCAGACCGTAAATGAGGACGGGGCGAACTGCTGAGCAGTCCAGACGCGCTTTGATCGATAGCCAGCCGGATATCACGTCTACTAACTAAGCCAGGGATGGCGTAAGTTGGCAGGCAAATACCAAACGAGCCCTCTGTATCCATGCTGAGATTTCGTTGGAGATCGATCCTTTGGCGTTGGGGCTGATTCAATTTCCCAAATAAGTGAAGTGGTCAACACGCTCCACGAGCCACGTCACTCCCTATTTCTAAGCTAGGAGTCAGTGTAGTCCATACTAGCCCTGTAGAATCATTTTACATTTGCGGGAGCAAATCACATGCCAAACATTAGCAGATTGCAGCTCAAGGTGTTCAGAAGACTCTGCATTTTGTCAGCATCTTCACCTAGGGAGGAGGACTATGTCATCTGCGTATTCTAAGTCAACGAGATTATTCCCTTGTGAGAAGTCAATCCCTGAGTTTCTGAAGTGAGTTAGAGTTAAATCCACTAGTGTGTACACCTGTGATGAAGTTGCATAGAAATGGGGATAATGGTCATCCCTGACGGACACCACTAGTTGTCACCAGTTGTTACCAAATATAATTAGCTCCATAGGAGCAATAAAACTGGTAACACTAGTTCAATACATTCAATACGGTTAAATGTTCAATGCGCTACAGCATGTGTTCAAAATGTTCACAGTCTTCATCATGTTTAACTATCATTATTATTAGATATCGGTCGGTTTTCGACATAGAACTTTGCACATATGTGCGGCAGTTCAAGCCGCCACACTCCATGTAGCACACAAAGGAAGATGAGAAAGTAGGAGAAATGCATATTAGAGACAGTAAACAGAGGTGTGAGACAAAGGAATAGTAATAACGAAGAACAATACAGTTTCATTGGAAATCATAAGTCACAAGGAGTGGATGCATCTGTCCCACCCAGTGAGAACGATTTTGAGCCATATCACCAATTGTTTCCAACCATTGGTTTTTACCTTCCCGAGGACCCCAACCAGGAAGTCTACACCTTCCTATGTGGCTTAGACTAACTGTTGTAGATTTAATTGACTGGTGCCATGTTTTCGTTTGACCGCCGCTGGTTTTTTCCAGCCTGACCCTAAGTCAGTCAGCTAACATTGCCCACTGTCGAGGAAGGTGATGACTAGGCATACGTAACACATGTCCTAACCATCTCAGACGATGTAATTTCAAAGTCTCGTCTATTGATTATCCCACCTTATCTAGCACTCGACGCCTAACTTCAATATTGCTCACCTTATTATACCACTTTACGCGGGAGTGAGAAAGATGAAATCTTAAAAAATTTGTTTTAATACATCAACTTTCTAAAATATTAATTTCTTTCTCGTTTGTTTTCAATATGCACGCTTGTTTAGGTGAATTATCGATTTTGCAAATGGTCTGATATATTGGATAATGAAAAGACAATACTCAAAGATGCTATAATCAATGATCAATCAATTGAATTGATTTATTTACCATATAACAGTTGCCGTACTATTTCAGATAAACAATTAAGTAATCCACAGACCACCACGGTTGACGAAGGCGCCGGTAAAATCAACGATAACGATGTTGTGTCCGACGAAGAGGATGATGATGATGGTGATGAGAATGTACAATTGGATTTGAAGTCATGGAATAATGAACAAGATGAAGTACTTATACGTACAACTCAACGTTTATCCTCATACAACAGTAACAGTAAGCCAGGAGATCCTAATACACCTGCAGCTACTGTTGATGATAACAAAGAAAATACTGATCCCATGTTGATTTATGAATCTGAACCGAAAGAATTTGTTTACCTGTTAGATCAAGTGTTTGGACCGCTTGTCAGTGAATTTATTGAACAACCAAGCAATACACCGAAATTGTTGAAAAGAGCTCATAAATACTTAAAATATAAATATTGTCCAAAACCAACAGTTATTCAGTATACACCATGGGCATTGAATTCATTTGGGAAATTTAAAGATCCTTTTCGAATATTAAAATTTACTATGGAAACAGATTATGATTTGAATCGATTTATACTGGTGAGTAACACATTTGCTTTGAATTTAAGTTAATTTTTATTCTCAAGTATTGGTTTTGTAGGGAATTTTGTTTGATTGGTTGAAGGGTTTCATCATGAGCTGACATAAGTTAGAGAACCATTGGAAAACAATCACGAAGTACTGGGCAGCCAGCTATTTCTGTGGTCCTAGTTCGGGACTCTTCAGCAGTACGCACCCAACACAAGGGATTTGAACCCAGGACCTTCTGGTTACAAGGTGAGCTAGCTCGTAGACCATTTAGCAGCTGGAACCTGATGAAACCCCCCAACCAATTAAACAATATCTCTGAAAAACCAATACTTGGAAATTAATCTGATGCTCACTAGCGGTTGGCCCTATTCAAGCAGTTAACCTGGGGTTCTAGTGGGAAACCGTGACCAGTGGGGTACAGCAGTCTGGAGTTGAGGCAGTAACTCATAGGAGAAGACATTGTGAAGTGGTCGTTCTATATTATGAATTGGCAGAAGTTAAAATTCATGGACGAGCCGCTGGATCGTGTCCCATTGGCTTGGTCTTATTCCTTTGCATTCAGAGTGTAGAAGCCGTGTGTTTATTTTTCTTTTTATGGCATGCAGTTGCTAGCCTTGAGCTTAGTCTTCCCTCTTTACCGGGCTTTTTGCCGCCTAAGTGAGGTTTGGAAAGGCGTCCGTTAGCCAGAGATTGAACATCGGACCACTTAAGTGGTTGACGAGGATTCTACAGTTAACTTAACTAATATCCTATTTCGATAAAGAAAGGAAGACGAAATTTGCAGTGTGGAAATGATTTCATCATTCTATTCCAAAGGTTCTCATCAGCTGCACACCACTACCTGAAATCACAATGGTTATATGGATGATAATAACATACTTTAATTTTTTAGTGGTAGTAGAGAAGAAATACTATAAAAGTGACGCATTCGAAATGAAAGCATTAAAACGTTTAGTTTAAGTTTTCATCGTCAATTTATACGCTTTCAAAGTAGAAAAGAGTGTGGAGGGGTAAGACAGAAAACAGAAAAAATTAATTAACAGAACAGTGTTAGCATGTAGGTTCACATAGCAACTCAGAAGACGAAAGTGATTAGAGTTTATGAGATTAAGATCTCAACTCACTGAACAAATCTCAATCTCATAAACCGTAACCACTTTCGTCTTCTGAGTTGCTATGTGAACCTACATGCTAACACTGTTCTGTTAATTAATTTTTTCTGTTTTCTGTCTTACCCCTCCACACTCTTTTCTACTTTGAAAGCGTATAAATTGATGATGAAAACTTAAACTAAACGTTTTAATGCTTTCATTTCGAATGCGTCACTTTTATAGTATTTCTTCTCTACTACCACTAAAAAATTAAAGTATGTTATTATCATCCATATAACCATTGTGATTTCAGGTAGTGGTGTGCAGCTGATGAGAACCTGTGAAATAGAATGATGATATCACATTTTATACTGCAAATTTCGTCTTCCTTTCTTTATCGAAATTTATCAAGGAAACCAAATGTATGAAATATCCTATTTGAAAGTATCCTGAACCCAAATAGTAGTTCAGTGGTAACGTTTCTAACTGCAGCACACTGGGTGACCGGGTTCGAATCTCAGTAGGTGGGACATGAGTTCCTTCAAGGTTGTAAATAAGCTTTGTTGTAAGTTGGTGGTTATGATGGCGGTTGAACGCTCACCAACCACATATATGGTCATGGGTTCGAACCCCCGCGGATGAACTCCTAGATCTCGCTAAGCTAGTAGTAAGGCCGACAAAAAGGGAGGGTTGGGCGTAAAGCTAACGACTTTACCACTTAAAAATACAACCCCCGCTACCAAAAATTCAGAGCTCTAGCCTGAGGTCATATGTTCCACTACGAATGTAAAGGAATAAAACAGGAATAATGATAATAATAGTAATAGAGAAAACGATAATGATCATGATATTGTATATATATATAAGATTTATTATTATTGTTCCCTTGGGTTCCTAGTGAAACATAGGGCTTCAACTGAACGTCTCCACTTGTTTCTGTCTTCTGCTGTACTTTTCACCTGCATCCATGTTAGTCCATACTGTTTCAACTCATCTTCACACGATCTCCTCCATGTCACCCTTGGACATCCCAATCGCCGCTTCCCTTTCAGGTTCCACTCGAGGGCCTAACGCGCGATGTCACCCAGCGGCCTTCTCAGTGAGTGTCCAATCCGTCTCCACTTTCTCCTGCATATTTGTTGGGCGATTGTTTCGTTCTTGTTTTGTTTGTTCCCATAGTTTCTTGTTGGTGATTCTTTCCGGCCATCTGGTCTTCAGTGTATAGAACGAAGACAGCTGTTGATAATGGTCTGCAACAGGCTGTTGGAAATATTCTTTGTGACACACTGGCCAAGTTTCTTATCCATATAGAAGAACTGACTTGACGTTTGTAATGAAAATCTGAATTTTGTTGTTGACGCAGGCTGAGTGACGAAGATTTCCAGATTGGTTTCAGGTTGATGAATGTGTTTCTCGCCTTCCCGATTCTCGATTTGACATCCTCGTCCGTTCCTCCTGTAGTTGAGACAATGCTCCCTAGATAAGTGAATGAAGTAACCTCTTTCACATCCCTTTCGTTGATGGTGATTGGCGCTGGATGTTGTCGCTGCTGCTGTTGTTGGTTGGTTGGTTATTTTCATAACCTCCGTCTTGTCTATGCTCACCTGGATTCCTGTCTTTGTTGCTTCTTCGACCAGTTTGTCGGTTTTCGCTTGTAAGTCTTCGATTTTGTGTGACATCAAACATAAATCATCCACGCGCGAAATCCGGGTCTTTTAGGTTCTTCACGTTGGTCCAGGATATCCCTGTCTTCTCGTTTCCCACTAAGATTTCGTTAGTTGGGACTCATTTACTCGGGACTGATGTTTTATGTATTAGGCTATGGGCCGTACTTATTATGTGTATGCGTGTATATGTGTATGGGGACTGATGATACCATCGAGCTGCTAAGGTTGAATCCGATGGATCTAGGATTCGAACTTGGGATTCAGTGGCTGAAAGGTAATGAAATAACCTGATGAGCTACACATCCATACCTGAAAAAGATTTGAGTTGATTTCAGATATATATAATTACAAGTCCGATATATCTGTAAAACTTGAGCACTAACATAATATTTAATGCTATATTAATTTTCTTATTGGATGCACATTATAAAGTGGTGAAACAGTCTTATTTACTGGATGACAGGGTATCGAAAACAATTCATTATTATTATTATTCATAATGACGTCATCAAGCGTAAGTACACAAAGCTTCGAAACTTTATTTTTATTCTTCTTTCCCTTCCTTTCTTCCTTTTCTGTCTTTGAGGTAAGAGACCTGCCCAGATATCCGGGGGGAACAGATGCTGAATCATTCTCTATTGCATGTCTTCTCAGTTGATTCAATAAAGAAAGCTTCCATTATCAATCTCTCCGTCTACCTCATATATAACGGATTTTAAGACTTTTATCTTGTTCAATCCTATAATATGGTTGTGTGTAATTGCATGTAGTGAGTGCTATAGCTGAACTATTCTCTAGATTTCTTATCTTATTAAGGTCAACTAATCTAGATTTACAGACCTTTATGAACAGCTTCCTCCTTCGCTGACTGGCTTCATGCTGAAGATCATATGGCCAGCCAGGAAGAATTAGCAACAAGAAATTCTGTCTGGCAACAAACCAATCAAGAGCCAGTCGCTCGACGAATATGTAGGAGGAAATATAGATGGTTTGGGCATACGTTAAGGAGGCCGTCGAATGACATTGCACATCGACTGAGATGGTTAGGACATGTGTTACACATGCATTACTAGTCATCGCCTTCCTCGACGGGCAATGTTAGCTGATATAGGGCTAGGCTGGAAAAGAGTTAGCGGCGGTCAAACAAAAACATGGCACCAGTCAATGAAATCTACAACAGTTAGTTTAAGCTGGCCACGTAGGGAGGTGTGGACTGACTGGTTGGGGTCCTCGGGACGGTAAAAACCAATGGTTGGAAACAATTGGTGATATGGCTCAAAATCGTTCTCAATGGGTGGCGCAGATGCATCCACTCCTTGTGACTTATGATTTCCAATGAAACTATATTGTTCTCCGTTATTACTATTCCTTTGTCTCACACCTCTGTTTACTGTCTGTATTATGCATTTCTCCTACTTTCTTCTGTTGCTTTGTGCGCTACAAGGAGGGAGTGTGGCGTCTTGAACTGCCGCCCATCGGTGCAAAGTTCTATATCGAAAACAGACAGACAGACAGACACTGCACACTAGGCTATCGCTCGAATAGAATGCCAATGAGAAACGACTTGTGGGTTGTCAGTGTGAGGGTGACATGGAGGAGATCGTGTGGTGAGGAGGAGGGTGAGGAGATGAGAGATTACGGGCAACGGTGTGGCTAGTCAGCCGAAAAGGAGAGCAGAGAATAGAAAAAGTGGAGATATGTTGTTGAAAACGTATGTTCCACTAGGAACCCAAGGGAAGAATAATAACCTACATTTTGCGAGATTTTTATGTGTCCGTAATCTGATTGACTCCATTTTACTACTATTAACTGTGTGTTTGACTTTACAGTCATTGCACGGTATTAGACAGGCTAAATTATTCTGTTTAGTAGAATTTATAGGATCCGTTAATCCAAGTGAGCTTGTGGATGACTGAATGCTAATTTTATTCTTGCTTTGTTAAAAGAATTACCTGTTTATGATGGCTATGGCAGGGAGAAGTGTCGGATGTATTTATTTTGGATACAAGGCGTGGGTTTGAGCATTTCGATGGCTAATGCCTCGACTATGCCCAAATGTATTGATTTTACTCCCTTTGACCAAATCTAACAAAGAGAGTAAAATTAAGACATCTGAGTATAGTCAAGGCACTAGCCATCCTGCTTTGGTAAGAATTAGTTCTACATATGACGGTTTCCAAGGTTCCTTCTTTGTATGGAAGCATTACTGATGTTTTAAATTTCTTATTGTTGATGTTGTCATCTTCCTGCT